TCTCTGGAATGGGGGTGGTGATGATGTCACTGAGTTGCATGAGGAATGGGAGGGAACCCGGTTCCCCCTGGGAGCACCGTGTGCAGACACTGCATTAGGGTGGCCAGTAGCCGCGGGCCCTGCGAGGGGACACTCCCTGGTGGCCGGTCTTTGGAGGCAACGTCCTCAGAACCCAGCCTCCCTGACTGTTTTTAATGGCCCGTCTCATGAGGGCACCTCTGCCATTTCAAACCTTTGGAAAGACAAGCAAAGTACAGACCCAGGTAAACGTTGTCCTGCAGAGGGGCCTGGGGGAGCCGCAGGGCATCTCTGGTAGGCGACGCCCCGCAGGGCGCAGGGGAGCGCAGGGCTGCGCGGGGGGCGGCCTGGCCACCGGGCCTCTGTGCCTCCGCGTCCTGCCCTCGGACAGTCGGGTCGGTGGGAGGGTTCCACGAGTGCGCGCCCGCCCTCGGGACGTCAGAGAGCCAGGGAGCGCTTCCCGTCATTTCTGGGGACAGTGCCTGCCCCTTGGGGCAAAATCAAGTAAACGAGACGCAGAAACGAGCCAGGAAGCCAGGAAGCCGCTGTCAGTCTGAGCATCTCTGGAAGGGGGTTGGGGGGACCAGAGTGCCTGAGACCGCCCCCCCCAACCAGAAGAGCTCATTTCCTGTGGGTCCCGCCCAGCGTCCAGCTGCTGAGGGGCCAGCGAGCTCGGGGCGGGCGGCCACACAGCCTCCCTGCGTGACTCAGGCGACGCCAGTGTCCGCTGCGGAGGCCTCGGGGGCCTGGGGGTGAGCCCGGGGAGGAGCCGGCTTGGCAGCCCCGCAGGACGCTGATGAGGGAGGTCGCCCTGAGCCGCACAGGGCCGTGGGGAGAGCTCCCGGGCTGGCCGTCACTCCGTGGGGCACTTCCTGTCCTGCCCCCTGAGGTCTAGCTTGTGGCTCCCAAGCCAGAGACACGTCTGCCTGGCCCGAGCCTGACTCCCCTGCCTCCTGCTGCTGCCTCAGCCCCCTGGTCCCCGCCCCCCCCTGATTTCCTGCACAGGACAGCAGCCTCGGGGACCCACTACGGTCCCTTCTGAGAAGTGCTCCTCAGCTCTGCCCTCCCGTCCGTCACCCAGCCTGCACTCTGGTCCCAGTGGCTGTCCCGTCCCTGCCCCTGGGACAGCCCCAGGGCGGGGACAGCCCCAGGGCGGGGACAGCCCGTGTGTCTGGGGGCGAGGCAGCCGGTGCCGGGGGTCTTGCCTCTGGCCGGGAACGAGAGTGGGACCTGAAGGTGCCGCCACAGTCCGGCCGGGTTGGGAGTCGGTCCCTGTATCTACAGGGTCCGGCTCAAATAACGCCCCTTTTTTATTACAACGTCATCAGCGTGTAATTCTGTAACACAGAAGTGTCACTCTCAAGCACACCGCGTGACATTTTAGGAATGTTCCAGTTAAAACTACAAACCATGACGCCCATGTCGTTACCCGACCCCCCGCGCCAAACAGGCCTTCCTTCCGCCGGACCCTGTAGTTGGTGCTTCTAGGTTCGGTTCCGGGACAGAAAGACCGCCCAGCGAGCTGTGTCTGCTCATAAATGAGCCCGTAGCAGGGCCTCCTTTTTTCCTTGCTCACAGGTTAGCCCTCAGCCCTGGCAGGTGTGGCTCAGTGGGTCGGGTGTCGTGCCGCAAACCAAAGGTCGCCGGTTCCATTCCCAGGGCACATGCCTGGGTTTTGAGTCTAGTCCCCTGTCAGGCTGTGTGGGAGGCAGCCGATGGATGTTCCGCTCTCACATCGATGTTTCTCTCCCTTTCCTTCTCCCTCCATTCCCCTCTCTCTAAAAATAAACAAAATGTAAAAAAAAGAAAAGGTTAGCACTCAGGATCTTCTGAATAATTTTCACGAGCCACAGAACATGTGAGCCGATCTTCACTACCCCCGATCCTCCCTGCGTTTGGGTCTGCGGGTGGCCTGGCTTGTGCGCCGGGCCCTGTCGGCCCAGGCAGGTCAGGTGCCCTACGGGGGCCTCCGTGCAGCCCGCCCCCTGCCCGGACGCGTGAGCGAGGGAGCGGCTCCCCTCGGAAGAGGTGCGAGGGGCTGACGCTGGGGCTGCGGAGACCTCAGGCCCTGCCTCCCTGCGGTCCCCCAGCCCCGCCCACTGTGCGTCCAGACAGGAGCTCCAGGTCTGTGTGTGTCCCCCTCGGGGTGGGAGGCGCGTAGGACTGGGCGTCAGAGCCATTAAGGTCCTTTTCTGTGGGCATTACGTTGCACTAATGGAAGATAAACAAGATAAACAGCTACAGGCCAGGATCCTGGGCGTGGACAGGCTCCATTTTATCCTTTAATCCTTGTAGTCAGGGAGCCAAACGTCCCGGGAACTGTGGGTGGATCGGGAAGGACCCCGAGAGCCTCTGTTTGGGGGGCGGGGGGGTGGCTGGGGACAGAGCCAAGGCACAGGTCAGCCCGTGCGGGGCCTGGGGGGTTGGGTCCTGGGGAGCAAGCCCTGCCTGTCCTGGACGGGGTGGGGGTGGGGGTGGGGCTGGGCGCCTGCCCTCCCCCGCCCCTCCCAGGCTTGGGCGGAGCTGCCTCTGTTTCCCGGCTCTGAACGTCTGGGTGACCTGCACCCAGGGTGGGGCAGGCCGTGTGCGAGTGCCGCATAGGAAGCAGCTGCCCTCCTCCCACGCCCCTTGTGGCAGAGTGGACGCGCCAGCTCACCCTGCAGAGGAGCCGGCGGAGGTGTGAGAGGCCCAGCCACTTACCTGTCCGGCTGGGATCTGAACCAGGAGACTGTCTGGCTCCAGGGCCTGTGTCTGCCGGAACCACTTCGCCTTCAAAGAGCATCTTGTTCTAAGGAGAATGGACAGGTAGCTTCCAGAAGGTTAGAAGGGAAAAAAGAAAAAGAAAAAGAGAAAGGCTCTGATTCAGGGGCACCTGCGGAAATGCCCTTGATCTTGGTTTCCGGTGTGTGAAGGGGCAACCATGCGGTCCTTCCCCCGCCCGTGTCCCCACGTGCTCCCAGTCACCAGGGCTCTGGGGACATCGGACGACTGGCTGAAGATGCGCGTTCAATAGTGAGCAAGTGAGCTTCCACCTCCCTGCTCGAGACTCAGGTCCCCACACTGGGGACAGCTTCCCACCAGCAGCCAGTGGGGATTTTAAAAGCAAATTTTTAAAAAAATCCTCACCTGAGGGTATTTTTATTGGTTTTAGAGAGACAGGAAGGGAAAGGGAGAGAAACATCAGTTGGTTGCCTCCTGTATGCGCCCTGACCAGGAATCGAACCCACGTCCAACCTTTTTCTGTGCGGACGACGCTCCACTGGCTGAGCCACCCGGCCGGGGCTGCCAGCCAGCTTTGCCGCGATCTTTCAAAGGCCGAGCCCAGCCGTGTCTCTGGGGGGTCCCTCGGAGCGGTTTCTCCGCCGTCTGACTGAGGTTTTCTCCACTGCAGCGGGCGGGGTGCCCCGTGCCAGGAGGTGGGCCCCCAGCTTTTGTCTTTAGGCACCAAACCCCCTGCAGTGGCTTGGTGAGGGGGGCTCAGTGAAGCTGGGCTCCCCCCGACGCCACGCCGAAGCCCCCGGCGTCGGCCGACGCGCGCCCTGACGCAGTCTGCGTCGTGTGCACCGAAATACTGTCATGGATGCCAAGCTGCTTTCCTCACCACAGGAAAGTGCCTGCGTGAAAGGATATCGTGAGATGAAAACTTTCATCTTCATCCAAACCAAAAGGAATGAGAAACCCCCAGCAGGTCGACATCGTTTTGTTTTTTCCAAGAAAGCTCTTCAGGGGCATCCAACCCCACAACCCAGGACGGCTGTGGACACGGCCCAGCACAAAAATCGTAAAATCACTTAAAACATTGGGGGATTTTTTTGTGATTACGTGTTGCAATGTATTTCATGTGTGGCCCAAGACAACTCTTCTCCTTCCAGTGTGGCCCAGAGATGCCAAAAGGTGGGACACCCCGTAACCTTTTTGAAATTCTTTGTTGTAAACTGCTGTGTGAGAAGTGTTCTTAAACATTCCCAGGGGGATAGAAGAAATAGATGTTTTTGAAATGATGGTGTAGTCGTAATGGGAAAGTATTTTGAAAAATGACCTAAGAAATCTTCTCGTGTGAACACACACGCACACACGCCCTCTTTGACCTAGGAATCCCATTTCTGGACATTTATCTTCAAGAAATTATCCACAGTCAGGAAATGAGAATGTTCATTGCACACTTACGCATAATAACAAAATACAGGAAGTAGTCTACTATGCTGTAGCCCCCCACCACGGCCCTGATAGAATGTATATTTATTGAAACTTAAAACGATCAAAGCCATGCGTTAACATGAAAACGCCTCTTTTCTGAAGGAAACGAGTCAGCTGTGCGGTGGGGCCACCCACTTAAGTTGCAACTTGACGTCCCTGTCGAGGATTCCTGGTGGCGGGCTTTCCTCCCCGGCCCCCTTGGGTCGTGGCCAAACCTTCCCTGTGAGCGCTGCGTGGTCCCCAGGGACGGTGGTCCACGGGGCCCCCTGCTCCTGGCCTCGGACGGGGCCCCGTCTTCCTCGCCCCGCAGACCGCAGGGAGTTCAGTGGGCCCAGCCGGCCGGAGGCACTTCTTCACCGCTTTCCCGGGCTGGTTGGTTGAGTTTAAGTTGAGTATAAATCCTGAATTTGTGCAGGGAGCCCAGTCCCCCTGAGGTGCCCGATGCTCACTGACCCCTGGGGTCGGCTTTGTTCCTAGCTTGGGAACTTCCTGCCCTGACCTCGGACCCTGCTGTGCTTTAGAAAACGCCGTGTTCTTCATCCCTCATTTCCGTGTGTTTGCAGTGGGATGCTTGGTCCTAAACTGGCCCAGAGTCCGCACTCCCCTTCCCCCGTCTTACGGCCACTCTGTGAGAACATCCTTGCGGAATACCCGGCTTTAGAGTGAAGGGGCACGTGGGTTTATAGTGACCATTTACCCTTTGCAAACATTCTGCCTTGACGTTACAGCGTCTTGAAAACAGTCACTGTACGAATCGCCCCTTTAACTGCTGTCTTTCCTTCCAGCACGCGTACACGGCCACAGCCATTAATGGGACAGACTTCTGCACATCAGCCAAGGACGCGTGCAGGCTCTTGGCCAAGAAGTCGCATCATTTCACATCTGTTAACCGCTTTGGAGACTTCATCATTTTTCTAGGAAAGGTGAGGCGTCTTCACTAAAACAATAAATAAAGGCACTTGGGATCCAAAAATTAGGTCATACAACAAGGCTTGGAATGGGAACAGACGTTTCTCGCGCGCCTGCTCTCAGCCAGATGCTCTGCTCCCTCGAGTTTATCGCCAACCCCGGGAGGCGTCCCGGTGGGTCACGGGCTGGGGCCCCGCGGGTAGCTGGAGCCGCACTTGGAACCCTGTCCTTCCACCCAGTCTCTCCGTCCTTCGGGGTCCCACGTGCTCACATGTGCAATGAAAATGCCACCCCCTCAGGAAGCGGGTACTTCCTCGGTGGGGAGTGTCACGAGCTACGTGAAGCGGCGGGGAGACCGGGCGGGCTGCCCGTGCTGTGTGTGAAGGTGTTCGGTCTCTGCAGAGACGGGATTGGTGGTGTCCCAAGCAGGGCCAGGGCCACCTTTCTGCTGTCACCCGAGTCGTTTTCTTCAAGGGACCGCCTGTGACCCCGTGGGGCAGAGGAGCTTGCGAGTGAGGGGCCAGCCCTGCGGGCCCCGTGTCTATAAACTCGCCCCAAGAGGCGCCCTGGAGCGCGCGGGGAAGGGGGCGGGAGTGCCGGCAACACGGCCCTCACGGCGCCGCCTGGGGGTTCTTACACCGTGCCCCCCAAGTCACTTTCCACGTGACTGTCACCCGCCGGCCTCGTTCTGCGCCCCGCCCCGCAGCCGCCCGATCCCACTCCCACCGGACTGCCCTTCGGGCTCCTGGCCGCAGACGTGCCGCCCGCCCTGTCCCGCCCCCCCGCCGCCCCAGGCCGGACGTGCCTCCCAGCCGCCCTGCGCTGGGGCCGCCGCACGGGCGAGAGCCTGGTCTCCAGCTGCGGCCTGGCAGCGCCGCACGTGGGGACGCCTGGCTCCTGACCCAGCGCGCCGTGCCGCTGTGGCACTTGGCTGTCCCTGCGCATTGCTGTCATAGTGAGCGGCCGTCCGCAGCCGGTCCCGGCCTGCTTGGGGCTGACAGGTGTCTGCTCAGGGCACACGTATTTTCAGGCTCAACCGGGCCCTGGCGACCGTGCCCGTGGCGGTAGCTCCGGAAGCACACACTGACGGCGCCTTTCTAAACAGGTCAAAGGAGCTGTCGTTAAGTGGGTAATGCTGTTTGCATTAGCTTGGCAGGCTTATGGGCGATAACATTTTCTAATCGTTACCTGTTAACATATTTTGGAAGGAGGTTTCACCTTTATAACAGACTTATTTTTTTATTTTACTTTGGGAAACAATCCATTTTTCCCGTATTTCCTGTAATGAACGCAGAATTGCTAAGAGCTTCTAACAAGCGTGTGACAACCAGGGTGTCTTTGGGTTTTTTTTTTAATCAAGCAGCGTTCCGGCGGTCGCGCATCTCTGCGGGTCCCCGAGGGCAGAGCGGACTCCAGGCAGGCTGCATTCTGTCTGTCAAAGAACTAGGTGCCTGCGGCCCACGGTCCCGCCCCTGGAAATAGAAGAGTTGCATATAGAGTAACCCCGTCCTCTTCCCACCAATCGCTGGGAAGGCCTCGCTGTCCAGCCCTCGGGGGTCCACATGGCCACGTGGAAAACCACGGTATAGCCACCCCATGGGTTGTTGCGCTGTTATTTAAAAAATGGCGTTTATACAGAAGTTTCTCAGTGCAGATGCTTATTGTGGTGTAAAAGGGGAAAAGAATCGTTATGTGGGATAAATACGACCCCTAGGCAGGGGGGACAGAGGCACACCCCCCTCCCCGCCCTCCGAGTCACCAGGCCCCTTTGCTGTCACCGCTTGGCACGTTTTTCTCCAATGCACTTCATCATCCCCAGTGTTCTGGCGCGCGTCCCTTCCAGCGGGGTGCCCAACAGCGCCGCAGACACGCGCATGCGGGCGCCACGGGCCCCCGATGGCACCCTGTCCCACGTGAGCCCGGCCAGTCGGCGAAGGCGTGCGCGCTCTCTCCTTGTGCCAGGTGCTGGTGGTGTGCTGCACGGTCTTCGCAGGGCTGATGGCCTTCAACTACCACCGCGAACTCCAGGTGTGGGCGGCGCCCCTGCTCCTGGCCGCCTTCTTCGCCACCTCTGTGGCGCGCAGTGCGTTGTCTGTGTTCGCCACTGTGCTGGACGCACTTTTCCTGTGTTTTGCCGTCGACCTGGAGACAAACGATGGCTCGTCCGATAAGCCCTACTTCATGGACCCGGAACTCCTGGTAAGCACACAGCCCCTTCCCCGGTCGTCTGCACGCCCATGGGCATCCGGACGCGCGGCCTTTGCCCGGGAGCCGGCCTCAGTCCGCCCGTGGGGCCTCTCGGTGCCCCTCCAGGGAGCGAGGCGTGGGCCCTGCCCCTGAGGCTGAGCTGCGTCCTTGGTGGCACTCCCTGGAGAGAGGTGAAGTGGAACCACTAGCGCTGACCAAGCGAGCTGGCCACCCGGCGTGCTGGCCACCGGAGCAGCCCAAGGCCCATCGGAACCCGGGGCTCGGTCCGCCTCCCAGCGGTGGCCCTTGTCCCAGAGCTGCCCTGCAAGCCCACGTACCACGGCTTCGCCGCCGTCTGCCGGGGGCGCATGGGGACAGGCCCGCTGCTGGGGCCTTTTGCTAACCATGCGCGCCCCCACGAGAAGGCCGCACCCCGAGCACAGCCTGCGCCTCCTCTTCTGGAAATAGCAGGCAGCTGTCCCCCGCAGCTTACGCAGCACAGCCGTCACCTGCCCGATCCTGTGCAGACAGGGACCTCTGAGCAGCTGACGCGGTCTGGCCTCTCCTCCCCTCGCCTGGGGCCAGGGGCGTCTGACTCTTCTCTCCATTCCCCGCTGTAAAACCTAGGTGTTGCAGCCCCTTAGCTTTTGAAAGGAGTGTGCAGGGCGCTCTGCCGTCCAGCCGGGCGCCGAAGCTCACCGGGCACCTCTGCGGTTTTAGAGGGCCACGTCCTCTCCCGCCTGCACGCGAGGTGTGAAGCCACGATGGCACTCCGGCCTAGTCGGACATGGTGGCAGGACGCGGGCCCAGTCTTCTCCTGATTTGCGCTTTTCTGATTTAAAATCCACTCGGGAATCTCCTCCACACACACCCCCACCCCACCCCAAATACTTTAATGCCACAGGGGAAAACCTTTTTAAGGACTAAATTCCCCCAAATGATACGGCCGAGGAAACGCTGCCAGCAGTGCAGGCCATGACCCTGGTCTAACTCCCTCTCCTGTTTCTCAGAGTTTTGTGAAAAGGATCGAGAAGCTAAACGGCTCGAGGTCACGGAGAGGCAGGCGCTGCGCGGGGCACGAAGAAGGAACGGAGCTCCGGCCCGTCGGGAGATAGGCGGCCCGTGGGCGTTTGCCCCGGGACAGCTACCCCGCTGGGAGCCGGCCAGGGGCTGCGCCGAGGCCGCAGGTCAGCGCCGCCCGAGCGGCCCTTCCCGCCTGAGCGGCCCTTCCCGCCCGGCCGCCTTCCCGCTTCCCGCCCTGCGGCCGTGTGGCTCGCCCCTCCGCTGCACTTGCCGGGACAGGACAGCCCTTCCAGAGCATGTCTGCAGCGCCAGTCAAAGAGCACACTGTGTGCCCGCCCCGTCAGGGCTCACCCCTCCCTCGCCGCCGGCGAGCCACCCCGGCAGAGGCCCTTGGAACGAGCCCCGCCCAGAGCAGGGCTCCTGGCCCCTCCTGGCCCCTCCCGGCCCCACATGGGCGCAGTAGGTTATAACACTGCAGGGCACCTGCACCTCTTAGGCACTGACCGCCACAGCCAGAGCCGCCACCGACCAGCGCGGTCGCAGACCAAGGCAGGCGCCCCATTTGCGGGTTAGGAGTGCCAGACCCCGTCTCCCAAATCGGCAGGTGTCCTGGGGAAGCGGCTTCCCACCTCCGCCTGTCTGGGAGTCGCTCAGACCCCGACCCAGGACCGAGCCTCCATGGCCACAGCAGGTGTTGGGGGGCTTCTCCTTTTTAAAGCTTTAAACGTGTTGGAACCTGTCACGTGTTGACAGGTGGCCCCACTCCAGTCAGATGAGAAGGGGAACCGTCACCCATGGTCCCAAGGGAGGCCGGGGCCGGGTCGGCTCCTGCAGGACAGGCAGTGCCGCAGGCCCCCGAGCCCCGGGAGGGACACATGGGACAGCCGGGGCCCGGGTCGGCCCGAACAAATATAAATGACCATTTGGGTCTTAAGCAGCAGCGCCAGAGGGGTTCCCAGAGCAGTGTTTTGGAAATAGTCCCTGCGGCCTGAGAAGCAGCAGACAGGGCTTTCGTGGGGACCCGGCCCCCTGCGTCCTCGTTATCTGCCTCAGCCAACGCGGGCAGGCGCGGTTCACCGCCGCCCCCACCCCCACCCCCAGCCTGTCCTATCGGGAGGGGTCACTCGCCTGAGAAAACATCCCCGTGTGCGAGCCGCCAGTTTTCTCTCACCGAACGGACTTGCCTGTCGTTATAACCCACTTAACTCTTTGGCCTCCTCTGTCGTGTCTGGAGGTTAGGGTGTGCTGGCACTTCCCATGATAAACCCTAGTTTAATATCCAGCAGCATATCCTGTGCCTGATCCGAGACGTTTCTCTTATAAAAAGTGGATGTTCACTAGAAGGTAGAAATGAATAGATTGTTTAAAGTAACGGCATTATAAGTGATTTTAAAATTGTATTCATCTGATCATTTTGTGTGCTATATTTCTATGGATTGCATTCTTTTTTAAAATTAATTTTTCAATTATAGTTGACGTACAGTATTATATAGTTTCCGGAGGACAACGTAGCGATTAGACATGTGTGTACCTTACGGAGTTGTCACCGGTAAGTCTGGCTCCCACGTGCGCCACACGTAGTTCCTACACTGTTACTCACGTGTTCCCTGTGTAGCACTTTACATCCCCGGGGCTGTTTTTATAACTGGCGACTTGTACTTCTTCATTCTTCCCCTTTTATATCCAGCCCCCCAAACCCCCTCCTATCTTGCAAGTATCAGTTTGTTCTCTGTATCTACGAGTTTGTTTCTGATTTGTTCATTTACTTTGGTTTTTTATCCTCCACACATAAGTGAAACCATGTTGCTTACCCTTCCCCGTCTGGCTTATTTTACTTCATGTAACACCCTGGAGGGTCACCCGCGTTGCTGCACGTGGCGAGGTCTCACTCCTCTCTAAGGTGAGTGAGACTCCACTGAGTGAATGTACCGCAGCCTTTTGACCCTCGTCCGTTGACGGGCTCCGAGGTCGCGTCCCCAGCCAGGCCACTGTAGGCGACGCTGCAGTTCACACGGGGGTGCATGGGTTCTTGTGCATTAGTGGTTTGGATTTCTTTGGATAAAAACCCAGAAGCAGAATTGCTGGGTCGAAGGGCAGCTCCATTTTTGGTTTTCTGAGATAAACCCACACCGCTTTCCACAGCGGCCGCACCAGCCGGCACGCCCACCCACGCTGCACGAGGGCTCCCTTTTCTGCACGTCCGCACCAGCACTTGTTGTTTGTTGATTTATTAATGACAGCCATTCTGACAGGTGTGAGGTGGTATCTCCCTGTGGTTTTAACTTGCGTCTCTGATGATCAGTGACGTTGAGCGTCCTTTCATATGTCTTGGCCTCCTGTATGTCCTCCTTGGAGAAGTGTCTGTCCCCGTCCTCTGCCTATATTGTAACTGGATGTTTTGTTTTGTTTTCCAATGTTGAGCTATGTGAGTTCTTTACACATCTTGGACACATCATTTGCAAATATCTCCCATTCAGTAGGTTGCCTTTTTGTTTTGTTGATGGTTTGCTTTGTGATGCCAAAGCTTTTCAATTTGAGGTAGTTCCATTCGTGTACTTTTGATTTGCTGTGTTTGCCAGAGGTGACATATTAAAAAAATTACTAGACCGATGTCAAAAAGCTTATCACCTGTTTTCTTCTAGGAGTTTTATTTAAATCTTTAATCCATTTTGAGTTTACCCTTGTAGATGGTGTAAGAAGGTGGTGTGGTTTTGTTGTTTTGCATGTATCTGTCCAGTTTTCCTGGCGCCATTTATTGGAGAGACTGCCTTTACGCCCTGTGTCTTCTCGCCTGCTCTGTCGTGTATTAATTGACCGTGTACGGGTGGGTTTATTTCTGGGCTCACCCTTCCGTTCCACTGATCTGTGTGTCTGTTTCTATGCTGGTACCAGGCTGCTTTGATTACCATGGCCTGGAAGTATAGTTTCGTACGAGGTAATGTGATACTATTTCTTCTTTCTCAATATTGCTTTGACTATTGAGGCTCTTTTGTAGTTCCATATAAATATTAGGATTATTTGTTCTAGTTCTGTGAAAAAAAAGTCACTGGTGTTTTGGTAGGGATCACGTTGAATCTGTAGGTTGCTTTGGGTGATAGGGTCATCGTTGCGACGATCATTCTTCTAATCCATGAGCACGGTATAGGCCTCTTCAGGTGTGTCTTCAATTAAATTCCACAAGGTCTTTTGCAAATATAGATCTTTTATCTCCTTGGTTAAACTTATTCGCAGGTATTTTATTCTCTTTGATGCCATTGTAAATGGGAGTGTTTTCTTAATTTTTCTTTTGGATAGTTTGTAATCGGTACATAAAAATACAGCCTATTTCTGAACATTACTTTTGTCTCCTATAACTTTACTGAATCCAGTTAATAGCTTTTGGGTAGACTCCTTAGGGTTCTCTATGTAGTATCGTGTCATCTGAAAATAATGACAGTTTTACATTGTCCTTTCCAATCTGGGTGACTTTTATTTCCTTTTCTTGTCTGACTGCTGTGTCTAGGACTTCTGGTGCTGCGTTGATAAAAGTGGTGGGAGGGGACAGCCCTGTCTTGTTCCAGATCTTAAGGGAAAGGTGTCTGGTTTTCCCCGCTGAGTATGATGCTGGCTGTGGGTTTGTCATACATGGCCTTTTTCATGTTGGGATATGTTCCACCTGTCCCCACTTTGCTAAGAGTTTTTATCATAATGGGCGTTGGATTTTGTCAAATGCTTTCTCTGCATCCATTGATAATGATCATGTAATTTTATCCTCCATTTTATTAATGTGGCGTATCCCGTTTATTGATTTGTCAATATTTAACCAGCCTGTATCCTGAAAATAAATCCCACTTGATCATGGTGTACGATCCTTTCAATGGATTGCTGAATTTGGTGTGCTAGTATTTTGTTGACGATTTTTGCTTCTAGGTTTATGAGGGATATTGGCCTATAATTTCCTTTTTTGTGGCATCTTTACTGGTTTTGGAATCAGGATAGTAGTAACCTCATAGAATGAGATGGTGAGCTTTCCCTCCTCGTCAGTGTTTTGGAATAGTCTGAGGATATTCACTGAATGTTTGGTAGCATTTATCTGTGAAGACATCTGCTTTGCTGGGAGTTTTTTTTTTTTATTACTGATTTGATTTCATTACTGTGTTTGATTTGATTTCATTTTGTTTCTTCTGGATTCAGTCTTGGGAGGTTGTATGTTCCTAAGAATTTATCCATTTGTTCCAGGTTGTCCAATTTGTTGGCATATAGTTGCGTGTAGTATTTTCTTATAATCTTTTGTATTTCTGTGGTGTTGATTGTCACTTCTCTTTCATTTTTGATTTTATTTACTTGGGTCCTCTCTATTTTTTCTTGGTGTGTCTGGCTAAAGGTTTATCTTTTTTGTTTATCTTTCCATAGAACCAGCTCTTGGTTTTATTAATCTTTTTAATTTTGTATTATTTATTGTATTTATACATGATCTTCCTACTTTTGTCTTTTAACCTTCATACTAGCTTTAATTGGCGATCCGCTACTTTTACTATTTGCCTTTGTCAGAGGGATTTTTTTTCCTTTCTTATATTTTCTTATTCATGTTTTTTTATCTTTTCTACTTAAAGAAGTCCCTTTAACATTTCTTGTAATGCTGGTTAGTGGCGATGAACTCCATTAGCTTTTGATTGTATAGGACACTATACCTCCTTTTCAATTCTAAATGATGATCTTCCTGGGTAATCTTGGTTGTAGGTTTTCCCTTTTATCCCTTTGAATATCTCCTGCCAGTCTCGTCTGGCTTGCAAAGTTTCTGTTGAGAAATCAGCTGACAGTCTTTTGGAAACTCCCTTGTAGGTAACTAACTGCTTTTCTCTTGCTGCTTTTAAGATTCTCTGTCTTGAGCCTTTGGTAATTTAATTACAATGTGTCTTGGTGTGGGCCTCTTTGGGTCCATCTTGTCTGGGACTCTCCGTGCTTTCTGGGCCTGCTTGTCTATTTCCTTCTCCAGGTCAGGGAGGGTTTCAGTCACTATTTCTTCATATTAGTTTTCGATCCCTTTCTCCCTCTGGGACCCCTGTGATGTGAATGCTGTTAAGCTTGATATTGTCCCAAAGGTCCCTTCAACTGTCCTCTTTTTTTACAGATTTTTTTCTTTTTGCTGTTTTGGATTGGGTGTTTTCTGCTCCCTTACCTTCTCGATCATGGATTCGATTCTTTGCGTCATCTAATCTGCTGTTGGTTCCCTCGTGTGTGCTTTTCAGCTCAGTTACTGCATTCTCAAGTTCTGATTGGTGCCTTTTAATATTTCCTACCTCTTCGCTGCAGTTCTCAGTATTCGTGTATTCTTCTTCCACATTCATCGAGCATCTTTGTCGCCAGGGTTTGGAACCCTGCGTCTGATGGATTGCTCGTCTTCATTTTGTTTAGTCCTGTTTCTGGAGTTTCATCCCTGCTGTTTCATCTTGGGGCGTTTTCATCGCACGTTGGCGGGCTCCTGTGCGTGTTCCTGTGTATTAGGTAGAGCTGCTACGTCTCCCAGCTTGGAAAGGGTGGTTTTATGTAGGTGTCCCAGGGGGCCCTGTGGAGCAGCCCCCCGCAGGCACCCGAGCCAGGGTCTCTGGGGCGCCCCGCGTGTAGGTTGTGCGTGCGCCCCCATCCTGATTGGGCTTTGGTCGCTGCCGGCATGTTGGGGGCAGGGTTTCTCTCAGGCTGACGGGCTCTGGTGGCCCGGTCACCAATACAGCAGATGGGTCACTGTTTGAGGGCCGACCCCCACGGAGCAGGAATTACTTCAGAAGGGCTCTGGCGTCAGCTTGGCCCGCCTGTCAGGTGTGTCAGCTGTGGGGCTGCTCGGGAGGGGCGCTGGTGCCAGGGCGCTGGGTCTGGAGCCTTGGGCGGGGCTCCGGCGCGGGCCAAGGCCGGCCGCCTGTTGTGCCGGGCTCGGGGCCGCCCGCCAGGAGCTGCGGAGTGACCCGCGGTCAGTCGCCCCTTGTGCCGGGCTTGGGGCTCCTTGACGGGAGCGGCCGTGCTCGCCAGGGCCTGCTGCTGCTGTGTGGTGTTCGCAGCCCTTCGAGGGAGTTTGCTGAGGAGCCGAGGCCGGCAGCTTGTGTGCGGGCTCTGGGAGGGGGGGCCGCGCACAGGCACGGAGGGGGCCTCGGGGCCCAGCAGGGGTGGCGGCCGAGGTAACGGGCAGCACAGGCGCGGTGTCCGCCTGCACGGGCCCGGCTGGGTGCAGCGCTCGCCAGCAAAGGGCCTGTGGTGCCCACCAGCGCTTCCGTCCGTGGGGACAGTTCCCCCGACCCGTCCCCCCAGCCCTCACCCAGAAGTTAGTCATTTTAGTTCCCCCCGAGGTGGCCGTCCGGGCTGGGCCTGAGTGTGTGCGGCGCCCTTTCCCTGGGACACAATCCCTGCTCACAGCCAGGTGCTCTGGGACTCCCCTCCCCGATCGGTGTCCCATTCGGGGGCCAGGTGTGGGCGGGGGCCCCTTGCTCCTTGGGAAGCGGGGACCTCTGCCACCGAGACACGCCCCCCCCCGCCCGGTTCTTAATGTCCCATGTGGGTCGGGACCTGCCTGTTCCGTGTCTCCGCCCCCGTCTTGTCACGGCTCCTCTCCCTCCTCAGTGACAGGACTTCTGCTCCGCCAGTCGTCCGGTGGTTCTCAGGGATGCCTGTTCTCTCATTGGCTAAAGTTCTGATGTGGCCGTGGGGGCGGCGACACAGTGTTCACCTCTGGACCCTGCCCCGGGTGCTTCTCACTAACACGTATTCACCCCGGAACGTGAGTGCAGAATCCCACCCTCCCCTCCACCGGTGTTTCTGAAGATGAGTCTACAATTACTGGAAGCCGCATGCAAGGTAGGTTGGGGGCAGCTGTGTCACAACAGAACAAGCAAGGGCCTGGCAGCTGTTGGACTCTTGGCCGTGGACAGGACGGGCCACACCAGGTCCCCCTTTGGCGGGGCCGCATCCGCCGCCCGGGGCGCCGCTGTGTGGGTTGAATAGGGCAACGCTGTCCACAGGCACCGGAGCGGGGCCTGGGGGAGGGCACTTCTTAAAATAATCAGCTGGTGGCTCACATGGATGTTCAAAAAATATTTATTTATAAAAAATACAATGGGATAAGTTTATGCTGAGAAATGCAGCAATAAATACAGTGGAAACAGAGCAAGTCTACACTGAAATATTGGCACAAACATGGAGGGCACACGCACCGCCCAGGCCCCGCGCCCGCAGGCCGCGTCCGTCCACGCCCCCGAGAGGCGCCCCTCGGAGGAGACCTCGCCGGCTCACGTGAGAGAATGAGCACACACGTGATCACAGATGCACACGGATCATGACTTTATTTAAAAATTAGCAAACAATACTGTAGAAATATCGATATGTAAATTTCTAAAAACGCTGCATCTTCATTTTAGTTGGCAGACACCGCCTTTAGCTAGAAGCATGAATTTAGTCTTCCACGTGGACACCAGACACTAAGCTGGAAGGAAGGAAAAGAAGGGGGGAGGGGCTTCCTATTGTTCGAAAACACCGGCTTCAGTAGAAGATTGTACAGATGCACAGGTCTGTAATGAAAAGGGCTGGGCTGTACAAGAGAAGGCCTCTTTCACAGTTTTCCTCTTTCCTTCACTCACGAGTTACTGGGTAGGCGGGGGCTCGGCTGCTACAGCGCGGGAAGGCGGCTGCGGAGGGCGGAGGCAGGGGGAGAGGGAATGTACGTAAGGCAGTGTTTCTTTCGGGTACAACAAGCATGACAGAGTTTCAGGAAGACAAGATAAACATGACTCAAGGCTAGCGTGGCTCTCGCTGCATAGGGCGACAGGCTGCCTGCGGCCCTCTGACTAGTAGTCGATGCCCTGGTCGCCGTACTGGTAGTCGCGGGGGTAGTCATCCTGGTACTCGCCGTGGTACTCGTCTGGGTACTCGGCCTGGTAGTCGCTGTCGCTGATCTCCGAGCCGTTGGTGCCTGTCCCTTGGCTCCCGTTGTGAATGACAGGTTCTGTCGGGGCGGCGCAGTACTTGGGGTCGTACACCTGCCGCCCGAGCCCGTACACACTCATCCCCTTCTGGGAGGCGACTTTGTTGGTGCCCATCTGCAGCGAAATCGTCGAGTTGTCCACGGGCTGCAAGGTGAGCTTCTGGTCGTAGATATCTCTCCTGGTGCCCGGTGCCAGCATCCCCGCCTAGAATGGGGGCAGGCACAAGGGTTAAAGCAGCGGCAGAAACCTGCTCCCGGGGCTGTTCGGAAACTGCCGAGAACGCACTGAACGGGAGCAGGCACACGGCAGGCGCTCGGTCCAGGGGCGAGGCCACCTGGCCTTCGGTCCCAGCTCCGCTATGCAACTGCTCGGGGCCTCAGACAAGTGTCTGTTGGTTTTAGGTTTCTCATAGGGACAGCAGAGGAAATGCCACCTCCTTTGGGTTTTGGGGAGGATCAGACATAAAGAATGGGAAATCAAAGCTTCCTGCCACAGCCCCGGGAGCTACGTGTGAATATGCCTAGTATTGCCCGTGGGCTGGGTGACCAGTGCCAACGTTTACCATACGTTCAGCAAAAGCCACGCTGAGTCATCCTCAAGGACCTGAGGTTGCCCACAGGGCTCAGGGAGCACCGGCCACACAGGACACATCCCCTAAGGTGGACAGCCCCGGCTCCCCCGTCGGGCTCACTGAGGAGACACGTCCTCAAGCCCACCCTGGTCGCACAGGAGGCCTCGTGCCCGCCCCACTCGCCAGTGGGTGGGGGCCCCCGTGTGGTGCTGCAGGCTGCCCTGAACACGAAGACGCCCCCCTCGCGCGGAGCCAGAGCGCGGGCATCCTCGCCTGGGGGCCCTCCTGCTGGCTGGGACCCTCCCCCAACGTGTAACAGGAACCTGGCGAAACGGTCCTTAGAAGACCACCGGTGACTCTCCCTGGATTAGGTGACTGATTACGTAATTAGCTAATGAGGGCCCCTTTGAGGACACAAGCCGGCAGCAGGAGGCCAAGCGTCGACTGAACTGGGAGCCAGAACACGGCAACAGTCCTCCCCCTTCTGGTTAGGCCGCAGGGCCGGCCTTCTGACCGCCAGCAAGGGCGCGAGCCACACCTCGCTTGGCGGCTGAGAAAAGGGCCTTTCGTTCTTTTGCTTTCTGAGCAAAACCCCCTTCCTGGAAGGAGTGTGCTGCCAACGCAGCACGCCAAACCCGGCCCGTCCCCCGCCGTCCCCGGGACCAGGCGAGGGCCACGCGGCCGCCCACCGCCGCTCACCTGGCTGGCCCCCTTGTTGGTGCCCATCTGCAGGCTGATTGTGGTCTGGTCGAAAGGCTTGTCCGTTTGCATTTTGGGGTCGTACAGGTGCCTCCTGGTCCCGTAGGCGGTCATGCCCGCCTGGCTGGCGCACTTGTTGGTGCCCATCTTTTAAGGTAAAAAACAAGATCAGCGCTAATCGCCAGCCGTCAGCAGCTTCACGACACAGACAAGGCTCTGTTCTGCCAAGACGGTGGGCCGGCCCCTCCCTGTGCGGAGGCCTGGCAGGGACAAGTCTCCTCCGTCCTCCCCTCAAGGTCAAGGCGCCCCGTGACAAAGGACACTCTTACACAGTTCCCTGGACCGAAAAAATGCATCATTAACCATACAGAGAAGGGACTCAGGGAGGGATAGACAGACACCAGAAGTTACTACGGCGGCCACGTGGTGACTAAGTAATTTCCCCCGCTCCCGGCCCCCCCAGCAGCACAGACCACCGTGACTGAAAGGGACGGAACAGCCTCAGGCATCAGACCCCTCCAGCCCAGGTACGACTTGCATAGGGCAGGGCAGCACGTGCCAGCAGGCCAGGGGCGCTTGGCTGCGTCAGAGTCGCCCCCACGTCCACGGGAAGGAGCCACGTCTCGGCCCCCCGGCTCCCAGGCCCGCGGGCTGGAGCCCGAGGGGCAGGCGAGGCCGTGAACCCGCCTGTTTGGAGGGGCAGGGGCCGCTTCCCCGCTCCCAGGGGATAACCCCAGGCTTCGGAGCCAAACGGCGGCAGCGGACGGTGTGCAGCACAGCTCGTACCTGGTCTGTTCTCCTTAAAAGTGTGAAGTAAAGGGGATTTTGTTTTTTTACTAAAAGTAAAAACCCGTTTGTTGGAAATGATTCAGAAAACATATATAAGCAAAAAGAAGGAGGGGTTGTCATTGTGACTGTCCCACCCGGGCGCCGGCTGTCAGCGCGCGTGGGGGTCCTGCTGGCTTGTCCCTGGGTGTCGGTGTCTGTCTGTAAACCGACACGCAGGGAACCCCCCGCCACCAGGCCACTTGGGAGTTCAGGTATCCGATTTCCCACCACGGACACCATTCTGGCCTGAGCAGAAACAGTCCCGCCCCCCACGGACTCCGCCTGGGGGGGGCGCCGCGCCCCACGGGGGCCGGGGAGTGAGGCCCGCCGCCCATCGGGCCCTGGGCCGCAGCATTTTTCTGCCCACCTCCAAGGCAACAGTGGGAAGGGAAGAGAGCACCTGAGCGAGGCATTTCCCAGAAGTTAAACCAACAGCCCCAGCAGCGCCCGGCTACTGCGCGGCGCTGTCCCTGTCTGAACGGCTGGGGCACCGAGGCCGTGTAAGCCTGCCTCTCGCGTGACCGGGGCCGAAAGTCATGCTCCGCGGAAGTACTTGGGAAACCAGACGGCGGCGTCTGAGCATTCCCACTGCCGCGCGGGCTGTCTGTGGACTCGAACCATGTGAACCGCACCTCCAGCCCCCAAAACCTGCGTCATGGTCCCGCTGTTCCTCACTGACAACAGACACTCCGCGCAGCGAGAATTAACGCTACTGAGTGACACATTTAGCAACCGCGCACACCCACCTGCAAACCAATGACACTCTGGCCAGCTTTTAACTTCCCTTCGTCAAAGCGCCGAGTCTGTTTCTCCGCGTACTTCACGCCGAGGTCGATGGTGGTGTGGAACCCTTTGGTTTTAGCCTGGACAGAAACACGCAGACCCACTAAGTGCAGGGGTGCACCCCCGGGAAGCCTCTACCGCAGGGGCTCACAGAAGGAACAGCGAGGAACCGATTCCGTCCGTGGCTTGAGGCTGCGCGAGGTGCGGCCCAAACGAGGGGCTGTAGTTAAGGCCTTTCCACAAAGCTAGTGCTCACAGAAGGGACGGGGCCCCTCCTGCCCCGCCTGCACTCCCAAGGGGGCGCCGGCGCCTTTCATCACCCCCGTGGGGGTGTGCGATGAAGGCTTGTACGCACCAGACCGGCCAGGGCCACCAGCGTCGTCTGAACCTGCGTCATGTTTCCATTCTCAAAAAGATCGTTTGCTTCGAATATGTCGTGGGGCTTCATGCCATAGGCCTGGATGGCTTTAATGAAGTTGCCGATGTTCTCCAACTAAGAGAGAGAGAGAGAGAGAAAGTGTCACGTCGCGTCTGCAGCCAAACTGCATCCCTCCTGGCGCCCGAACGCTCTCAGGCTTCGCGGGTCACGAGGAGCCGGGGCAGGAGGCTGCGTGGCGGGGGCCCCGCCCGCACGCACGCACGCACGCACGCAGCGTGGCGCTCGGGGAGAGGACAGGGTGAGGAACCAGAGTGCCTCGCAGGAGGTTACGCGGCAGTCTCTCCAAGCACCCAAGTTTTCTTAGTTCAAGGGCAGGACCCTCCTCGCGTGCATTTAAGAATTCGGTATCAGTTATCTGGGCCTGAAATCTTCTTTGGGAAAGGGACATAAAATGTTAATCAGCAATTTAGCATGTTGTAATTTTGATCTAAATTTAAACTGGTGGCCACGAAATGCTTCTTTGGTTACATCTCAAAACACACGCTAAGCCACACTGTGCGCTTTTACTGGACCGTGCGCGTTCATGAATGACGGCTAAGCCCCTGCCGAGTTGTGTGGCCACCCGTGAGTTGCCGTGCAAACCCCCTTGCTTTCCCCTCATTTATCCTTACGCTCTAGGTGGTATTTCCCTGGGTAAACTTGTCAAATCTTCTCAGGCTAAATATAAGAAAACTAGGCTACACATCTGGTGACCAGAGAATTCATTCTAAGTAATTACGGAAGCATTAAAAATAACGTGGTAAGAACAAAAATTAGCCAGCTCCTGCCAAAATGTTACTTTGCCACGGTGATGGAGTTTTCACCGCCTCAAGAGTAACCAGTGAAGGCGGGGGGTTGGGGGGTGTTACCTGAGGCCAGTTTAAGGAGGACTCGTTGACCTTCCTCACGGAGCCCGGCTGCAGCTTGTTTATGAGTCTGGAAGGGAAAGCGCGACAGCTACTTACTGGCCACACAGGGACGAGGGCCGGGACGTTGAGCCGATGCCCCGGGCAGCAGCCAAGGAGGCGTGACAGATGGCGGGACGCCCAGGTGGGCCACTGGGAAGGGGCGGGGCAGGGGCCGCGCAGACTCACTCGCAGAGGATGATGCCGTCCTTTAGGCCCAGCTGGAAGTTGGGGCCGATGCTCATGCCGGTCACCTCCTCGATCCAGCTGCGCAGGTCCTCCTCCGCCTGGTGGTCATACTTGGAGGCGATCTGCAACACAGGACCCCACCCGAGCGCGTTCACGGCGGCCCAAGGATGCCAGCCCGCAATGTGCCTGCTGTGATTGCCGCAGGGACCGCGGCCGCGACATGCGGCGAGGTCCCTGGCCAAGTGGACACCCTCCTGAAACTTCCGTGGCCAAGAAGGACATTTTTGGGTAACTCAGTGTTCAAACACGGATCAGCACATGTAGAGCCAGAGCCACTGGGACTGAGGAGAAAACAGGGACCAGAGAACAGAGTCCCACCCTCAACACATAGGAGGTGAGGTGGGCTTGTCACACCTCACAATGTGGCACCAGCCACGTCGCTGTTAGAGGGGAGCCACACCCCAAACAGGAGGGTGGCAGGCCTCTGACACATGGCCCTTCCACACGGCGCTGCAACTGTCTGAGATGTGTCACATCCACTGCCCGCAAAGCCGTGGCACTGCCGCGCCTCCCGTGGAGACACGCACCCGCTCCTACTGCTGGTGCTCCCGGGCTCCAGCCACGCACGCGGCCCGTGTCCCCCTACACGCCTCGCAGGAGTCACGCTGCCCCCTTCGACCCTGGCATGCTCTGCCACCCAACCATTCAATACAGAAAATGTGTAAGTTTTCCCTACTGAAGGCCACGCAGGGAAGGCAGCTCGCTGACACAGACGTGGTGCTGTCACGCCTGCCGACACGCGCGCACGTTCTGGAGGGTCCCTGTGTAGCAGGACCATAACCCTCAATTAAAAAAACCAAACTTCACACAAAATACTGTTTAAAATCACACATTCGCGCTCTTAGGCGATCCCTTGTCCCTGGGCCCTGAGCCTGCCCGTGGGCCCAGGTGACCACGCCAGCCCCACCTGTGGACAGTGAGCGCCAGGGGCCAGCGGCAGGCGCGAAGGCTCCGTCACAGTGCAGGAGAAAGGGGCACGTTTGGTCCGCCACCACAAAACACGACTAGAGGCCCTTCAGGTTCTGAGCGCAAGGGCACAGACGAAGCCCCCCTCCTCCAACTGAGGTGCTCAGCGTCACCGATGCCAGGCTGTGCCCGGGGCCCAGAGTCGGGACCCTGGGGTCCTCCCTCCCAAGTTAGAAAAATGGCTCCCCCCCTTTGACAGAATAACAGAATTTATTTACAGATTACACAACGGAAATTCAATGAGCCTACATTTTCACATCAAGGCAGCTAACACTGCCAGGTCCCCGGATCGAATTTCAGCCCGGAGGTCCGGCACAGCGGAGGCTGGAGCCCGGAGGCTGGAGCCCGGGGCGGATCTCTGGTCCCGGGGCCTGTTCCTCAACACCCGCCTCCTCTGGCTTCCTGCCCGCCTGGGCCCATGTGCTGGAAGGTTCTGCACAGGACACGGCAGCCCCTGCAGAGGAAGGAGCTGCCACTGGCGTCCCCCGCATACGCTGACTCCAGGAGGGCGTCCACGGCAGGCGCGCCCCACACCCCCAACGTGCCTGCTCTCGCGCGGCGCCCTTGGAACAGGCTGATGTGTGCGTTGGGAGGTGGTAGGAGAGGATTTAACACCTGACTGTATTTTCACACAGGAGTCTTGTTACTAGCGGCTAGAAAAGGAAATTCTCTGTATAAATTTTGGGAGGGCGGGGGGTGGATAGAAGGAAACAGGCAAAGGAGAGAAGGTAGAATCCCAGCATCGGGCACGGAACGCAGGCTGAGGTTTCTCCAAAAGCACTTCCAAGATGAGACGCATGTGAGCCAACGAAAGACAAGACGGGGCGGCGGTCCCACCGCGGCCCAGCCGGCTCCCCCAAGCTGCTCCGGGGCGTGGGGGGGGTCTCGCCTCACTTCAGATCCACTTCCCGTCTACACAACAGGAAAGCCGAGTTCACGGGGTGCATGGGGCTGCTTCCCGTCCCGAGCCGTGCAAACAATGTCGTCTGTCAGCAAAACTGAACCAAGTCCTCTCCCTCTGTTTTTTCCAATGCAGATGTGAAAGTCACACTGGAGGGCCCTGGGGTGTTTTGGGGGTGGGGGAGGTGGTAATTCTTGGCCGAATGACACCAATGATTTATTCAACCAAAAAGTATAAAAGCATATTTATGTTTCCTTTGTTCAGCATGTGAAAGATTCGACGCCGTGCCCAACCCACCAAGCAGTCACAGAGCTGACGCGAGACATCCTGCCAGGAACGCCAGAGGGGACCTTCCCCTTCTCCATGGGCCGTTCTCATCAAATGGGACAGGCGAGGCTGGAGCCGCGGGGCCTGGGTTCGAACGTGGCCCACCGCCTGCGGGCCGGGCTCGGGGAGGCTGACTCCGGGCGGCTGACCCGGCGCAGCTGGAGCAGGCTCAGCCGCTCGGCGGCAGGGCTCCGGCCGAGGGGACCGCTGCCGCTGTTCACATGGGGCCCTCACGCCCTAACGCCGCCTGTCTTTCAAACAAGCGGGCTTTCTGCAGTCACGCCCGGTGAGTAGAATTCAAGATTTAGGAATGTGTACTTTAAAAACAAAAAGTTTAAAATGAAAAAAAATTCTTATGAAATCACCTAGGGAAAAAATCCATTTCAAATGGCCTCTCGGCCCCCACCCGCAGCCCCCTGCTCCGGAGGGCGAGGGCCAGACGTTCCCTCTGAAAGAAAATCGGCCGCGGGCCGCACCCCCCCGCGACGCAGGTCGTTGCTGAAGCGTCTGATCGACACATCTTCTCTGATCGCGGAACAGAGAGCAAGGAAACGTGAAAGGTAAGCTTTGGCAAATAAAGTGTGTCCAGTATTTTCATCTAAAAAGGGAGAGTTTCAGAACTGCAGACAAAATGCTGACATTTTCTCCCTCACAACAGGACGGCTTGCTCACATTAACCCTCGTCTACCCGTGGAAAGTTCACTCCAATCTGTTTAAAAACCACTCTTCCAAGTTGTTTAGAAGCACCAATTCTCCCCTCTGCCTCAGGATTTGTTTTACAATACTTGACCTTCCCAGCGACTTTCAGAGTTCCTGCCTGGTCCCCCCCCCCCGCCCCTCCGGGACAGCAGAGCCCAGCAGTGTGCCCCCCCCAATACAATCAAAAGGCAAAGAATCCTGTCACGTGCGACAACGCACGTCAGACGGGAAAGGACAGGAGCTGCGCGATTCCTCTCACACATGTGACAGAAAACAGAAAACAACAAAGGAACAACCTGCGCACAGACACAGGCCTGGGGTCGGTGGCTGTGGGCGGGAGGGAGGGGTAGGGGAGGCCGAAGGGGGCAGAGCGTCAAATACGCGGTGACGGAAGGAGACGAGGCCTCCGGCGGCGGTCACACTGTGCGACAAACGGGTGCCGCATCACAGAAATGTACCCCTGAAACTTACATAGGAACCGATGTCACCCTAATAAATTCAGTTAAAAAAGGCAGAGAAAATAAAGACCAAGAAAGAAGCTCCTGGGGGACGGCGCTCAGCGCCCCACCCACGCGCCGCAGCCTCGGTGGCTCCTGTCCTCGGGGCCCAGCTCCGGGCGCTTCTGCCTTCCCGTCTGCCCGCAGCGGAGCTCAGCGCCGCCGCCCGAGCCTCCCCACGTCCTCCCTACTGAGGGCTTCTAAAGCAACGCTCACTGGTCAAAGAGCACACAGTATTGGGGGGACCGGGGCCCCCGGGAGAGAGAAGCCTTGGCGAGCGGCTCGCCCGTGACCCCCCCAGGGAAGCCCGCTGCTGCTCGGCGGTCGGCCCGATGGGGCCCCGCAGTCAGGGGCCGCGAGGGCACGAGCGGGCCTGCGAGAGGCTGAGACGGTAGAAAGCAGGGGTCTCTCCAGCACCCGCCTCCGCCGCCCCCCAGCGCTGAGCTGCGGCAGGCTCCCGGGGGTCAGGGCGGACCAGGCCCCGGACCGGGCCCCTCACGCTCTGAGGGTAGAGGGCCTCCCTGAGAGCCCTGCGGGCAGGTAATGGGGGAGCACCCGCGTGCAGGGCCAGCGGAACAAGTGGCCTGCCCCAAAAGCAGCGGCGAAGGTGAAATGAGGTGGAAAGACATTTGCCCCCAGAGAGAATCAAGACGGGTGCTGAAAACAGCAGGAGACTAGAAGCCGGGGGACTCAGAGGGGAAACACCAGGCCTCTTCCCTCCCTCTCCTCACTCCCCGTCCCCTGACGTCGCAGATGAGGGAGGACAGGCTTTAACATGGCCACCCACCTGGGCCCCTCCCCCACAGAGCCGGTGCAAATGTTCAAGTTTTCATGAGGGGGTCACAACAGTCGTCACATGCTTTGAAGTCAAACATCAACACTTCTAAAACCGCGTGACCCAGCTTGGTAACTTAACCCTGACCCCATTTCTTGCAGGTCCTCTCCCTCCTTCCAAGGCCTCCTTCCAGCAGCCTGAGGTGACACCAGGGCCACAGGCAAGGCGGCCGGTTCCAGTGCCTGAAACACAGTGCCGCCGGCGCCCTGCGCGGGCATCGCCGTGTGCGCAAAGGGCAAGGTTTCGGTTCACCGAGCGCCCCTGCCACCGCTCAGTTGAGCGTCTACGGTTGGGAAGGTCACCGTGCACAGGCCACTCAGCCACGGCCCCCGCCCTGTCCCTCCCCACCCCCCACGGCCAATGCCGACCCTGCCCGTCTCTGCTCTTCCCTTCAGCGAGAATGTCTTCGCGTCCCTGTTCCGCATTCTTTTTCAGGTGATTGCTGGTCTGTACCTTGTGGGGGCAGGGTGGGAACTGCAGAGAAAATTGCCTCCTGTTTGGGACAGCGATGGCCAGGCGCAGCTGGTGCCCCCCCACCCCCAGGGCACTGTGGGGGCCGGGACTCCCTCGCGGGCCTGAACCTGCTCAGACCCATGGGAAAGGACTGCGGAGTTTGCCTCCCCAAAATATGCCTTCTGGGATACAGACTGTTTTAAGCTGGTTATTTTTAAGAAACAAAAGCCTGGGTGGAAAAAAAAACAACAAACTTCTGACCTTCCCCCTAAGGGCCTTTTAAGAGACTTTAGACAGAGGACGCCCCAGGAAGGGTTGCTGCAGCCGACCCTGAGATAGCGCGATGGGCCGGGAAGGACCCAGCGAGGCCGGCCGGTCAAAGTC